GTTATATGCAAACAATGAATCATGGAACACTACATCAAAAACTAATGATGTAATGTATGGTGATTAACATAACATAAAAAAAAGAAAAAAAAAGAGAGAGGGACAAGCAATATGTATCGAATCAGAAAACTGGAGTTCAGATCTCCCCTTTCTGTTCTGTCTGTGTGTTCTTAGGCAAGTAATAATCTCTGAGCCTCAGTTTTCCTTGTTATAAAATGAGATTAATATTTGTTTGTCCTGGGTCAGGAGTTTGTTGATAAGTGAAAACACTTTGTAACCTAACAATGTGATATGTATCTTTGTATGCCTAGTACATTCTAGTTAGACAATGAAGGTTGTCTTTTAATAAATATTAATTTGAAATAATAGTTTGGTAATTGGGTTATTTGCACTTAAAGAGTTTGGGAAATTTTTCTTATTATTTTTTATTATGGAAAATATCAAATATATGAAATTCGACTAGTGTCTCCAAGACATCAAATCATTTTATTTGTATATATTTTAATACGTTTTACTAAAAGATAAGGATTCCTCCTAAGCAATCACAGTGCTGTCCCCACACCCTCAATATATCCAAAATAATAATTTGGGGAATATAATTAAATGTTGTAAATGGTATTCTTGGGTGAATCTTAGGTACTCCCCCCTGCTTTATCCCCTTGGCAATCTTTAGTATTACAGCTATAATATGTATTATTACTAAAAGTAAGCATGCCTTCTCTTCTTACTTCCAGTGGCCCTGTTCCAGTATTGGTTATGAGTCTTCTGTTCATCGCTTCTGTATTTATGTTGCACATTTGGGGCAAGTACACTCGTTCATAGATTCGGCTACACCCATCTGTCTGTCATCTGAAGAAGAAGGAAAAAAACATCTTGGACCAAAAGCATAGTGACTTTCTGTTTGTGAGAAAGAAATATTCTGTAAGCTTATTGTTTTACAGGGAACTTAACAAGAATTGATTTAAGGAATCAATTTTTTTCTATGGCTAATAAACTTTTTAATTCATTATACCAAGTCTCATTGCTGATACTTGCCTACTAGGTCCCTTAGTCTCTCTGCCTTTACAAGTGAGTATGGAGAAAACATCAGGGGGAGGTTGTCTTCTTTGTCAGATTAACAGTTTCTTATGTGACCAGGTAGTCGCTCAAATCCAAGATACCATAATTGGCTGTGGCTTGTTTTCTTCCAGGTATTTCTGCCCTGATGATTGTTATGTTGTGTGTTCCGTGATTATTAATGAGTGTGCCTGTGACTCTGTCAGGAAGATCTGTGCTCAGAGGCAGCTGCTACCCAGGGAAAGAGACATAGGGATCCTAAGCCAGATATCTTGGATAAAATGTTTGTTCATTCTGTTCTTTGTCTCTGAAACTGTAGATAATATTTTTGCCTCTTGTCTCTCTCAGTTCTTAATTCTGTGAGTGTAGACCAGAGATTTCCATTGATTTCTCACTAGTTGCTAAAACTCTTTTGAAAGAATTTATTTAGTAAATTGGATTTATCAAATAAAATTTTGTTTTCATTTTGAAAATTTTAATTTGTAATAATCAGGGACAATAATTAAGGGACCTTAATAATCAGAGTGAGATACCAGCATTTCTAAACTGAGTTGATATAATTCCAACCCAAAATAAAAAACTTTGAAGTTTCACTTAGCTTATGTTGCCTTTCTGGGTATAAGCATTCAGTTTCTCGTCGACCCTAGGAAACACCCAGAGGAGCTCAGAGCACATACTCCAGGAGCCCAGGACTCTAAGCCAGGATTTCTAAAGACTCAGAGTTCCATATGAAATGCCCTAGTTGTTGAGCAGAATCACAAAATGAAGAGGTGTATTAGTGAAAAAATAGATAATTTTAAAAACCTTTTTCTCAAGTCTATTTAAGGAAAACTTAGTAGAGTTAAGCAGCTTCGTAAGTGTATTTCTTGAGTCCTGGCTGCAAAGTAATTTTAGGTCTGGGGAACCAGGTTTAAATGATGAAAAGTATGTGTCTTTTAAACAGATTGCCTAATGCCTAATGCAGTATATGGGTGAACATGCTCTTGTAAATCCAACCAAGTGGCAGATTATTGGGGAAAAAATGACGGAAAAACTGGTTCTCTTGGATCCTGGGCGCTGCTCATCGCATGAAAATGCAGCAGCTGTCTTCATTTTGAAATTCAGGGGAAAAAGTTTCACTTGGAAGAAATTAAAGATTTAATGGGATTTTTTTTTTCTTTCTGATACTCAGGTTGATGGTTCCAACGTAGCAGCTAAAAATTAGGTATTTAATTTGCAAACGAAATCTGTTCCTCTGTCCAGAGGGGTGTCTTTTTCTCTGAGGGAGATGCTGAAGCCACTTGGACGAGCTATTGGGTCTTGGGGCTATGTTCTCTTCACTGCAAGATGCCGCCTGTTAGCCCCATCTGCCTCGCAGTGGTCTCCAGTGGACTATGGCCGAAAGTCATGGGGTTTTTGGAGCTAGCGATTTATGAGAAAATGCTAGTTTTCTGTGGCAGAGCAGGGAGATGCTTCATTCAGCAGAAAGGAATTTGGTGGTTGGGCATAAAAATGTACAACATCTATTATGTTCTGTAGCTGCTTTTGGCCCCGATGATACAATGCTAATACCGTAGCTGAGAATCTCAGTGTTCAAGCTGTTCCTTTCTCTTTTCTTTTTCAGTTTTAAGAACTGGGGTAAAACAGACATTACCATAAAATGTACCATCTTAGCCACTTTTTTTTTTTTTTAA